TGAAGTTTCCTCATACTACTGTGCTCTCTCCATCTCTCACACCTGTAATCTATGCAGTAGGTATAAAATACTATATTAATTTTCATTTGGAGATAAAATGTTTTGCTTACAATTCCCAAACACAGGAAAGCTGGTGGATGCATCTTTTCAGACAAACATAGTGCTGGGGGACATGAGGAACAGTAAACCTGAAGTTCTGGTAATAAAAACTGACATTTTGTCCAGCTCTTGGAATGACTGCTAACAGCAACTAAATCTTACAGCTTTATAGTCAGATCTGCTCTGGCAAAGTTCATTTACAACAAATCCACTCCCTCTTCCTTCGTTTTGTGCAACATCACCCCTTATTTATGGGAGAGGGATCCAAACATCTACAGAAAGTAACTGAAAGAACATCACTTGAGATCAAGATTTGGGGTATTTCTTTTGATCCAAAAATTTTTGGTTCAGGCACATGCTATCCACTTACTACCACCAATGAATGTTTTCTGCAAGCAGAGCTTAAACAACCCAGCTCTTCTAAAAGGGAGTCCAAATTCTGGATCATGAGCCTGAAATGTATGCCTATGTTCATGGAAAACACACATGCATGAGAAACATTGAGAACCTGTCCTGCAAGAGCAGTGGCTTACAGTTTAACTGCTTTAGGAGAGATTTCTCTAAGTCTACATTAGGTCCCCAAAACAACTCATTTCTTTAACAATCACTGTGAATCACACAGATCTGGTGCATATTATTCCTTTAGTCTCTATGGAAATTAATTTTATTCTATTTTATTTAGGTGATTCAGTTTCTTTAAAAATCTGACTTAAACATTCAAGTGGGCATCTTCTAGGATTTTGCTGAATGCCTGGGTGCTTAAGTCCCCATTAAAATTTAGGCAGCTAGCTGGTTTTTTCAAATCCCATGAAAATATCAGTAGCACTACAAACAAAAATACACTTGAAGAATCTGGTGCTTTGACTTTCTGCACTCATGTAATAGAGCAACAAAATGTTTTCCTTTTTGTTCTCTTCTGATCTGTTCTAAATTTATACTTACATTTGTAATTGTTTACAAGCACTGACTTTCCTGTCCTTAAAGCTTTTTTTTAATACATAGGAAGAGCTGACAGTGGCAATTCTTTAACTCTTACAGCTGAAGTAAATCCTTTTCAAGGATCAAGGTGTCAGACAAGGGAGGGGATTGTCCCACTGTGCTCTGCACTGGGGCAGCCTCACCTCGAGTCCTGTGTGCTGCTTGGGGTGCCACAATATGCAAGATATGAAATTATTAGGGAGCATCCAAAGAAGGGCAAGAAGGATGTGAAGGGCTTTGAGGGGAAGCCACATGAGGAGTGGCTGAGGGCACTTGGTCTGCTCAGCCTGGAGGAGACTGAGGGGAGACCCCACTGCAGTTACAACTTCTTTGAGAGGGAAGAGGAGGGGCTGGCACTGATCTCTTTGGTGACCAGTGACAGGACTGGAGAGAATGGCCTGAACTTGTGTCAGGGGAGGTTCAGGTTGGATGTCAGGAAAAGTTTCTTCCCCCAGAGGGTGGTTGGGCACTGGAACAGGCTCCCCAGAGAAGCCTGACAGAGTTCAAGAAGTGTTTGGACAATGCTGTCAAGCATATGGTGTGACTCTTGGGCCTGTCCTGCACAGGGCCAGGAGCTGGGCCTCTTGTGGGCCTCTTCCAACTCCAGATTTTATGACTCTGTGATTTTCATTTTAATGAAGGCTTTAGGACAAAAGACATATTTTGAGGAAAATAAATCCATCTACAGCTCACCAAAATTCTCATAGGACACCACAGCACTGGCTGTAGTAGCTATCTGCACAAACTGCACCCAAATTTAAAATTATTTTTTCTGTTTTAACAATTATTTCTGTTCTTGTATAATGATGCTCTCATGAAATTCAGCTGTGGGTAGAGTGTTCTGGGAAATGCAAATGCTTTCTCCAGTTGGCACCTTTTTCACTTCTCTTCATTACCAAAAAAAAATAGAGCAAGGACATACTCTACAGCAACACACATTTTAAGTGACTCTGCAATGATAAGAAGCTGTTCATGCTCAAAAGCTCTGTTCCCTACTCACAGTGTTCCCTGTGCTAGCTGGTTAATTTGTACCTATCAGGCTTTCTCTTCAGCAGACAGGAGACTGTACACTTTGTTTTTATGTTGGTCACTGCTGGGATTTTGTGGACTAACACAAATGCTGGTAATTACCAATTCCAATGAAGGAACACAGAGGGAGAGGATCTACACTTCCAATCATTATGGTACCCTTAAGAAAAATACTAATGAACAAAGTGTGAAGATTCACATTCATGCATGCTTTAAAAATGCAAAAAAAATTCCAAGAACACTTGCACATTAAAAGCTGGCACAGTGTGAACATAAAGCACGCATAAAGTGTATGGCAGCGTTGTCTGACTTTAAACACCTATTCTGAGCAAACATCTATTAAAAATCCCAAATTTGTGTATAAAAACTAGGTTATAAATTGTTGCACTGTAAATGCAATACTTTCAAAAAAATGCCACGTGGAAAACATTTCCAGATGTTTCAAGTTTGCATGTAATATTAAAGAAAAAAAAAAGAAATAGCAAACTAGTTGTACAATGACATTTCCTGTGATGGAATGTCTTGCAGGCCATATGGGACTTGATATGGCACTTAGAAAAACCAAAACAAAACACTGGTTTACTACAAGTTTTATGAAGCAATCCATTTATGGTTTCTGTATTTCAAATCTGCTCATGTACTTTGCTCATGAAGGCATTTGAGCTGGCAAGTATATTTCATAAGGAAAGAAGTAAAGGCACTCATGTTTCCAAATGTAAAACTCAACCTACTCCAGAAGTCTTTGCATTTCTGAGGGGAAAAGAAGCCATCGTATTAGTTACCCCAATCTAGTTTCACCTCCTTTCCAGAGCTCAACTGTGCTTCTTGAGGACTACTTGACTTTTCAATGCAAAGAAATTTAAAGTAGTACTGAACAGTTCCCATCACTTGAAAAAAAACCAGAAGTATTGCATGAAAACTTCTCTTAGCAGAAGCCATTAGGTATGGCCACTAAAATCACAAGAGGGGGGAAAAGGATCATAACAATTTAGAAAGCAAATCTAAGTTCACACATAGGAGCATCTCAGTATTTCTGAGAAATCTTTGCCGTTAGCTATACAAGATAAATAAATCTGATGTTCTACCCAATGCTCTCTAGCAGACAGACCAGTGCTGTCTGTTGGGTAGTTTTCTAAATAGCCAACAAGACACTTTAAAAAAAAAAATTACTGATTTTTTTTCTTCAAAAGGTTTTCACATGCAGAGTCTGCAGTCTGAAAGTGCAGAAAAGTGTACAATCATTGGGCTTTCCAATCTGGAACGGACAGATAAAGCAGAAAAAACAACATGCAAAGTCAAAGCAAGGATCAGGAAAAGGAAGAAAAGAGAAAACTAACTTTAGTAGAGTACTGGTCCATGGTTTTGCAAATGGAAAGTGTCAAAATATGACTGGTAGTATTTTTTTTTCTAACTATTCTGCAATCACCAATGAAAAAAAAAGTCCTGCATTAACTACTACAATCCAACAGAACATTAAAAATAAACCTGTCCAGTTAGTTTTGAATGTATACCACAGAAATAAAGGTCACCCTCCTCAAAAGAAAGATGAAAACGTCCAAACCAACAGACAAATTTGAAGCAGTTAACTTGTGTTCTACTGGGTAAGTTTAAGCATCTCTTTAGGCACTTCACTGGTTCATTAAATGCAATACAAAATAAAGCTATAAATATCAACATTTTGTGCTCTCAAGAAATTAGTCAAAAGCAACAGAAAACAGCACAAAAGTGTGACATTTTTGGCAGCTTATTTCTTCCCTTCCCCAATCTTACTGGTTGTCCAAAAATGCTTTGTTTTGGGGATGCTTTGGCATCTCGGTATCAGGTTGTCTTAAGCCGTAAAAGCTAAAACAAAACTGCTAGGCCTTAGACAATAAAGAAATTTGGTTTTAAAATTTCTTTATGGCTATATAAGAAGGACACTTTAGCAGTGGCATGTCAGGGAAAAACGCTTGCTTTCTTTTTAAATATTGCACTTTGCTTTTGTTCACTCACACTAATGCATAGAAACTTTTAAAACTTTGAATATTACAATTTCATGCTATGAAAAAGTTATGGGAAATAATTTCTATACATCCAATATGAAAGAATAGATATACTAGCCTTCCTTTACTTTCCTTAGTTAAAACATTGATAAAGAAGAGAGTGCAAAAAACCCCACAACCCTATTTTTGGTCAGCCTGTGTATTAATTTTATAGGTGCCAACTAAACAAATTGCAACACGTGATGAGCATGGATATTGTCAGGACAACTGAGGGTGACTGTCAGTAAAACAAGACTATGCATGATTGAAACTCAGTAAGCGTGGCTGAAATGGCAAATCGTGAGGCCTCTTCTCCTTGCGAAGGGGCGTGACAAAGCGTGAATGAATTTTGCACTTCAGTAGCATGCTGTAGGATTTATCAAGATTAATTTCACATTAAAGTGTGCTCGATGTTTGCATCCACATCTTGCATCACCTCCAATTGCTGTAGTAAGACAGTGACTGGCAGCAGTCTCCGGGACACACAGGAGAATCCAGTGGGCAATTCGATGCAGCACAGCCCGCGCGTCTCTGTCGCGAGTCACGACGTGGTGGGACGTTCTCAGGACAGGCAGAACTGATCTTCTGCTGGACTCCACTCATCTGAAAAATGATTGCTTGGAAAAAGAAGTCTCTAAGCACTTCACTTCAGTGCCTAAAGAACAAAGCGCTAGGATTGGATACAATAAAACCAGTTCCAGGATCCTGACCGCTGTGCAGAAATCCAGCCGGAAACAATGCAGAGTAGCGCTCCTCAGTGTTACTTTTGTTATCATTAGTAATGTTAAGCATCAAGAAAATAAAACACATCATTGCACATTACAGCCGCCAAGAAGCACGGCTAAACTTTGACACTAGAGAATTGAATAACCTGATGCTACATCACAAACAGCTTCTGGTGTGTAGATATTTTGAAAGGTCTTTACATACTCAGTAAAAGCCCCTGTACTCCTGGCCAGCGAGTGCTTCAGGTTAAGTGACGAGTTATGGCACGAAGGGCATACAGAAGTTCGGCTTGCATCCGAGCTTCCATCAGAAGTAGATTGACATGAACCTGTAAAAAATTACATCAGCCATTTAGCTGACCTCTGAATGCAACATGGTTTATTCATTCAGGCTGAAATTTCTATTCTTTAGTAAAGTATCGCTGCAAGAAAACTTTGTCATTTCTCTCTGTACCCTGCTGCAGGACTACAGTTCCTCTAGAGACAGCTGTGTAGTGATGCCAATATGGACAACATCCCAGGACTGGTGATTCAAGCAATCTTCCATCTAAGAAGCCACCCTTAAACCTTTTTTTGTATCCTAATGGAATTAGTTCTTTCTAAATTATATTTGGTTATCTTTACTACTACCTGCGACCGTTATACAGAAGAACAGAATAGGGAACAGTTTCCATACCAGATAGGCTAGCAGGGACTCATGGGACTCATGCACTGAACCCTTCTCAGGAAGCATTTAATATGATATCTGAAAGCATGTTGACATTTTTAGTGCTGAAAAACACCATAAAGTATGCATATATATATTTTTAGGTATTTCTTGATCTCCAAATCCCAAGTATTGACATAGTTGACCACTTCTGCATTCTCAAGTTTATCTTTAAAACTTTCTAAAAGTGAAGTATCTTTTCTTTTACAGTTGTCCATTTAATTTTATGGAGAAGTGACTCAAAATAATAACAATAAAAATTATCTCCAGCACACTAAGAAGTATTTTTGCCAAACTGGTATCTAACACTCAAGGAATGATTCTCATTTGTTTTTCTCTGATTTCAAACAGTTCATGTGACAGATGCTGCCGTTTTAGGTGTCCTCATATTTTAATTTTCAAACAGCACAGGGGTTTTTTTGGCTTTGGAGCACATACCTTCTCTGAGTGCTTGAACTGGCGCCAGTAGCTGTCGTACATGCGCTTGGTGGTTCTCTCTGGGTAGCAGGTCACTGTCTTTATGTAAACCTTCAGGCTGCGTTCAAGTAGCTGATTCACTTCTCCATAATCGTAGTCATCATACCTACGCAACACAAGCAATCGTTCTGCTTGATGTAACTTTCTAAAAGCATTGTCTTTTGCAGCATCGTGTTCTTAAGCCTGGGAACTGGAACATTTATCATACATGACCAAAACCCATGTGTTAAGAGAGGATCTTAAAGGCTTAGTAGGATCATGGAATTTTAAGGCTGGAAAAGACCTTTAACATCATCAAATCCAATGGTTAACCCACCATGTTCACCATTAAACCACATGCCATATCCACCATTTTATGAACACTTCCAGGGATATTTTTTCTCCCACTTCTGTGGGCTGTTCAAATGATTTTCAAATCTTTCTTTGAAAAAATTTTCCCTAATATCCAAACTAAACCTCGCCATGAGCTACTTGAAGCCATTTGTTCTCATCCTGTCACTTGTTACTTGGGAGAAGAGCTGACTCCCACCTGGCTACAGTCTCCTCTCACGTTGTTGTAGACAGTGATAAGGTGCCCCCTGAGCCTCCAGACTAAAGACCTCCAGCTCCCTCCGCTGTTCCTCTTAGGACTTGTGCTCCAGACCCTTCCCCAGCACCACTGCCCTCTCTGGACACGCTCCAGCTCCTCAATGTCCTTCCTGTATTGAGGGACCCAAAGCTGAGCACAGGATTGGAGCTGTGGCCTCACCAGTGCTGAGTACAGGGGAACAATCCCTGCCCTCATCCTGCTGGCCACACCCTGGCTGATCCAGGCCACGATGCCACTGGCCTTCTTGGCCACCTGGGCACTCCCTGGATCATGTTCAGCTGCTGTTGCCCAGCACCCCCAGCAGCACTGAGCAGCTTCCCAGCCACTGCCCCCAGCTGTAGTGCTGCCTGGGGTTGTTGTGACCCAAGTGCAGGACTCGGCACTTGGCATCACTGAACCTCATACAATTGCCCTTGGCTCACTGATCCAGCCTATCCAGAGCCCTCTGTAGGGCCTTTATCCAGAACCCTCTGTAGGGCCTTTATCCAGGGCCCTCTGTAGGGCCTTCCTAGCTCCTTCCAGCAAATCAACACTCCTCCCCAACTGGGTGTTGTCTGTGAACTTGATTAGGGATGTTGTTTTTCCTAAATGAAGGATACAGGCTGGCTTCAGAGAAGACATTTCTGTAAAAATTTCCATCCTGACTAATTTTCTGCACTGGAAGGAGAAATTATACTGATATGTCAGCAAAACCACTCTAACTTCCAGACAGAGGTACCATCTCCACTTTAAACACCCAACCTAAAATGATGCTTTACACACAGTTTATTTTTCTGTTTACATAGTTTTACCATGTATTCCTAAGCCAGGGAATTTTTGTCCATACCTGATTCCATACATACAGTGGACATAGTTAAATAAAGCTCTTCTTAGTGTAGTTGTATCAACATCTTCATGTGTTGCCATAGTGTTGTATGTGAGGTTATACACCATCCGAAACTTCTCATCCAGGAGATGCCCAATATCAGAATAAAGCCTGTTTACAAGGGAAAAGCCATGATTTTCCCAAGTATAGTCCTGCAGGAAAAGAAGAAAATATATAAAGGCACAAATGAAGTGAATTCCTTATGTCATCTTCTCTACAACTCAACAGTTTTTGTTGTCTGATAGTTATGTCTTTATTCTCTTCCAAAAGTTTGCATTTTGAATCCTTCATCCACATCACCTGCTCCATTTACCCAGAATTCTTGGCAATGAATATCACATTGTGACTCCCCAACCCTGGATATCATTAGCCTACAGGCGAAAAAATCCCAAGCTTCTCCTGAAGTGCTTAGGGAATCTTCTTCTGCTTTTTCACTCTGACCAGTATCATTCCATGTGGGATTGGCTTTTAAGTTTAAAAACTTGCTCCTCTTGGAGGCTTTGGTGCTTAGCTCCAAACAAAGATGGAGTTGACTTCCAGCGAGGATGCACAATCATTGGGTAAAGTACTGAACCATCCCTAAAAAACTGATAAAATCCGGGCTGCTTTGGTCTCAGACAACCACCTGAATTGCAAGATAAAAGCCTGCCTGCTTATATGAGGAATGGGGAATCTTTGCAGAGTGGTGGCACATCAGGAAGAACCATCCTGCTCCAGAGCAGGGAGCAAGGGCACTCCGCACAGCCGTCACACGGGAAGTGAGAGTGTGCCCACATCCTTGTCAAGTGCTCTATCATCCCATCACTGATGGCATCTTTACAACTGAAGGCATCATCTCCATGTCCTTCCTGTTGCTGGCTGTTTTCCAAAGGTACTGCCAGGCCAGGGTCCTCACCAGGGCACCTTGAAGCATGTCCACTGTCCTGTCCCCAGAGTAGGACAGCAGGGAAGAGCAGAATAGTGCTCCGTTGTCTCATGGAGGCATCAATAAAACATCTAAAACATGTCACACTATCACATTTGGCCTCTGGCTGCCAGCACAAAAGACTATAAGGCTTGTGAGAAATATGCCATACCCATACAGCCCTGGAAAGGTGTCCAGGACATCACAAAAGCCTCTGAGAGTCAGAAGGCCCAGAGAGGAGAAAGTGCCATTGACTAATAGCAACTGATCCCTATTATCAGTGAAACCTCCCACCCAAAAACAAGCTTAAAGACATTCTGCTGTGTTTAGAACAACTTTTGTCTGTTAATAAATTTAAAACCATAGAGACAAAGACAGTTTTGGTTTTTCAGAGTAAGGATAGGACTTATTGCAGGTGTCTGGGATGCTTAAAATTTAAAATTTAAGATATCATTAATAGCAGAAAATTTGGGAGGCTGTGGGTATATACATCCAGCTGCTAAGAGTAGGACATAATAAAGTTAAATTATCAAGGTGACTCCTTTGAATGTAAGACAGAAGCTGTCCTGTTTATTTAAGAGCAGAGATGTTTCAGTTCCAATTTCAGCTTCTTTGGAGCTTTTTTCCAAGGGAGCCTGCTGCTCCTAAAGTAGTTAGTCAGATTGTCTGATATATAGGCACTGACTATGCCTTATTCTTTTTGGCAGTAATAACCTACTTCAGGCTCATATAAAGACCACAGAATAAATTATCCAGTTCAGCAGAGACTGCTATAAAGCTAAATATATTTCCTGAGAGCAATCGTGGATTAAAGAATCCACCATTCTTTAAAATAAAGATTTTAAAGTCTCAGATATATCTTCTGACCATGGAGTTTTCCTGCACCCACTGTCATTTTAATTGAAGTTCTCTTATTAGGTTGAAGATTCCTTCCATTGCTTTCCATTTACTTCTAGACTGCTTATGAATGTGCTTTGTAAGATAGAACAGAACCAAGAATGTCCCTCCTGTTATATATAATACGAACCTCATGATTCTGGTCATGGCAAAGGATGTCAGTATATAAGACAATCTACACATAAAATGTATTTTCTGTTCTTCCAACAGCACTGAGAAATACGTATTAAAATACTGTAAAAACTTCAGTAATCATATTTCAGAATTCCTTTTCTTTCATAGCATTCCAAGTCCAGAGATTTGGTGCACATATGAGAACAATACTCCCCAAATCACTCTCACAGACCTGTGTGTATCCAGGAATTGAAAGCCACTGGAAAGAGAGTACTTGGTAAAGTGACAGGAATAAAGAGTTGCTCCAGTGGATTTTTTTCTAAAACATCTGAAGGGATGGGAAAGAAATTCTTGATTTTCTACCTTTCCCTTTTATTTCAGATATGCTTTACAGTTTTCAAACAATAATACTGGTAATAACTGAAGTAAGGTGGAAAGCCAAGTACTGCCTTGCTAGAGATTGACAAATAGTGAAAGACTCCATCTCAGGGAGATTTATGCAAGGTTGTGAGTTACTTAATGAGCCAGGACAAGAAAAGGAGCATGCAACCAACATACCCCACTATAATCACTTTATGCTCTGTAGGGAGATATATAAACATTCTTTGAGTTGAATGTGCTTTTAAGAGATGGTACCTGAGCTCTGAATGTTGGCAGATGGTCTTCTCCTCGCCTTGCAAAGTCTTTGTACCCAAACCCAGGATCTTCAACATAACGGGAGACATCTGTAGAAACTATTTCATCATCAAATGCTGGGAATAAAACAGCAAAATGCTTTGCTTTAGGCAAGAACATGAGTTAATGCTGACTTCCAACTACCACTCTACTACAGGACTAGAGGACAGCTTTAGAAGTTATGCAAAGGAGAAGAGTGATACAAAGGAAAGAAACATTTCAATCCTCATATGCTTATATTGGATACATTACTTTCATTGAGCCCATTAAATGTCAGCCTATACCAGACATTTAATGTACTTCTACAAAAAGAGAAGAGATGGGCTATACTTCTGTCTGGAGGTTTCCTTTTCTCTCTGTTGACTTCTGAGGGAGGCTAATTATCTTAAGTCAGGAAGATGAACATCATTAGCAAAGTCACTATGTTAGCATAAGAAACAAAACAATGGATCCTTGACAGCAGGATTGTTGTACTGATTAGCCTTTGTGTCAGGAATCACACTGGCTCTGTCTGTAAGCTGGAGTATGAGCACCAGACAGCAACACAACACTCCACTGGTAAATATCAGCTGAGGACTATATGAAAGCAAAGAGCTCTACAGCACATCAGGGTGAAATTCTGCCAGAAGCTGTAGTAACTAAGCATATTCAAAGAGCTCCAAAACATATCACTAAGCACACGCAGGTTCTCTATCAGGAGTCAGTCTTTCCCTCCCGAATAAACAGGTGGCTTGATTATGTAACTACCTCTGCAGAAGTTGACTACTGCATAGCTGACTGCATTTGACCCTGATGTTAAAATCATGGCTTGCTTCCACATGCATTGGTAGAACAGTTGCCATATGTCCACTGTTAGCACCTTGAAAAGTCTGTTAATCTAAGAATTGCAGAAGTGCTTTATCTCCTCTTTGCCTCATTAAACAATCAAAACATAACCGTGTAGGAAGAAGCTTGGACAACATCTGCTACAGTAAATTCTCAGCAAAGAATAAAAAAACCTATACACATACACTCCTCTGCCCTGACAAGGACTGGATTTCATGAAAGGGTAAAGGCCCAACACACACAGACTCCTCCTGAAATCAGCAAATGGTAAAGAGGAAAGAAATCAGCAATCCTACTCAAAACCCCCTTCTGTCTTGAATGACCCCTTTTCCTTAAACACCTGAAGTTGCACAGACTCATGGAAGTCCTGATTTGATAATGAAACTGCAATGAGTGTCCATTTAACTGCACTGCTAATACTGCATGACCAAAGGAAACTACAGCAGAAATTTACTATGTCCATTTCAAAAAATCCAGCTTGATGTTGCTGGATGTATCTTCTTTCACAGACTTTTCCATGTTGCTTGGGAGCCACAGAACAATCTCTCTGCTGATCCTCAGTACATTCTTCCTCCCTTTCGGCTCTTTGCACAAACCCATTGATTCTTTCAAACACGTTTGGTCTGAAGCTGTGGAGACCTAAATTTACTAAGAACAGTGCAGTAAAATGAAGCATTTTAGTGGTCACTTTTTTAAAAGACAAAAGCAATCATCTTCAAGTAGCTTCTACTATGAGGAAATAGCTAGAGATTCTGATTGTCTTAATCTTTCTTCCAACACTTTCTTTGGGGAAAAAACACCTTTCTGTCTGTATGAAGCAGCCTGCATTCAGTAGTTTGTTAGAGATGAAGGCCTCCAGAGCATATGAAGAATATGGGAAAAGAAGGTTTCAGCTCAAAATTTGGAAAATCATTTGAGAATAAAAAAATGCTATCAATCTCTATCACAAGATAGGCGGTGGAACAGCACAGCAGTATGATCACTCAGAGCAGCAAATTGGTAATGTCCTTTCCAGGTGGGCAGTAAATGGTAAACTAGTTGAGTCTCATTGTCTAATTCCTAAACTTAATGCCATATCTGAAAGCTACTTATGAGTGCCATTGAAGTTCTAAGCTCCACAGAACCTACACTATGAAACATTACTGAATATTTATTACTAATTTATTAATTATAATTAGTAAATGAATTATTTTTATTATATGGAACATAAAAAGAAAGAAAAAAGTACACCCTACTTTTTAAGGAAGCCTACAGGCCTTTTTTCCCCTTAATATACAAAAGCTAAATTCAAGTAGTAAAAAGGATGATATTTGCCAATCAAGAAATCCTAAGATGATGAAGCAAAAGGTAAGACCACCCTTACTACACACCTCCTACATGAAGAGCCAGAATAAAGAAATGGACAGAAAAATTTTCAGTCACTGAACTAGCCTCAAGCATTTATTTCTGAAAAAGCACACATTAAATTGAATTGGAAAAGCCCAAATACCTCCACTAATTACTAGCAGACTCTCCTTCTTCTCCTTCTCAAAGCGAGTTGCCATTTCCTCCTGAGAGGCTTCTTCATCCTCTTTATCTTCCTGTAGTCTCTTCATCCTTTCCATCAGGGCCTCCAACTCACTTAAAGAATCTGCAATCTGTAAAAAACACCATGACATTCTGCAAAATTAGAAGATAGACAACCTGTGTCATCTTCGGATTTCATGCTTGACAGTAAACGTTCTCAAAACCAGCCAGCAGCAGCAAACACAAAAACTCAAGCCAGAATGCATTTTGCCACATAGATCATAGACAAACAGCTTTCACACAGCAGGGAGACAGGAGCTGGGAAGTGTTAATGTGGCCTGCTGCAGTAATTTACTGCAGTGGGATTAACAGTGAAGAGGTGGTGTTTGAGTGTGGAAACCACAGTCACTCATATTCCACCACACAGCTCAGGAAAATCCATCCGCGTGCCCTACGTCTCCCATAAACAACTTTTCATACTAAGGAAACTATATTCAGTCCATTGGCAATGGAAAATATGCTTCTGAAGAGATGCAGTGCAACACTGCCTTACAGAAACACAACCTGAGATGGCAAATCAGTATTTTTCTTTCATTTTGTGTAACCAAAACAGCCACTTTTCCTTCCTTTTGTGAGAAAAAAAGACCTCTTTTTAATAGAAATGCATCAAAATTTTGGGTGCCCTGTACCTATCATTCAGAATTTTTATAAGATAAATGATTTTGTTTTTCTTTTCCATCTTTTTGAGTCTGTTCTTTTGCCCATAGTTACAATTCTAGCAGACTCCTCACTGCTTAGCAATAAGCACAGTCAGCAGCAACGCTCTGCTCACTAAAATGGGGAATAAGGGACCTCCACGGCATGAGCTGGCATGTTTTACAGCCCAGAAATTTAATACACAGTGATTGAACTGAGTGATGACATGCTTATATTCTACTGGTAATTGTAAAAATTGTATCTAGCAACTCTACTCATAATCCTGATTTTCCATCAAAGGCAATGAGGCTAATTCATCTGTCGGCATTAATTCAAGGGCATGTCTTCAAAAGCATTCTAGAGCACTTTCCAGGAAAAAATGTCCAGTTAATTAACTGGTAATCAAATTAATCAAGTTAATTAACTTAGTAATCAAAGTTCTCTGTTGATTCAGGACTGGAACACCAGCATGAAGAATTAAGTAATTTTATTTCAGACATTTCCTCCCATCTACATGGAAGTGTTTCAAACTGTTTCGTGACTGTAGGCCTTGAAGTAAAAATAATAATTATTATTATTATTACTACTACTACCACTACTACAACTTGTATTTTTTTCCATCTTTCTTTTCACTCCCTATGTTAGGAACATGGATGGAACAATGCTCCAGTCAATGTCCCACTGTCTAAAGAAACTGGGACTTTGAGTTTTCTGCTGAAAGCAAAGTTTTAGTCTTGCCCGACGGGTGGTGAGATTAACTATCAAAATCACACTGCTCTGACTGCCATCCACTGTTACAGGGTGGTTTTCAACAGATTACACTGGAAATTGCCAGAGTGTATCTAAGAATTACTGGACTCAAGCATTCCTGTAAAGTAGACAAAAAGAAATTTCCAACTAAAATTTAAACAGGACAGAATGGAAGTAAGTTTTCTAATGCGAAACAGAGGCAAGAAAAAGAATTTTCTTGCAACACTAACCCCGAAGTTGCTACTTGTGAGGGATGCATTTTCTATGTTGTTGTCATTGGCAAGATCACAAACACAGAAGTTGTTGACTGCTATAAGTCTGACTCCATTGGATGTATCCGGATCTCTCTCTGGATTAATGCCACTACCAAACACAAAACTTGCCAAGGCATGATAATGGGCCAACAGGACAACAGCATGAACCAGTTCAGGAAGAGACCAATTATTTTCCCCAGTCTTGACAAGTTTCTGAAATGAGAATGAAAAAAGTGTAAATATAAAATTTCTTTTGGCCCCCAGATTTTCTATAAAACACTACACATTTCAAAAAGGGATCAATTCTTTCTTCCAATAATACCATATTCCCCTTGCACACAAACTCTCATGGGATAAAAAAAGAGACATCTAATATATTACTTCTTTTCTTTGGGCTATTTTAACCAATGCTATTCCTCAAAAGAAAATCTTACTGGCTTTGTCACACAGGAGAATCAGCTTGTTTGGTGCACTAGTACTTCCCTGAACTTTTTAATTCAGGGTAATGAAGCCTAACTAGGCAGAGTTCTGCCTGTAGTTCCAAGCCTACCTTGCACAGTTTCTAGGCAGTTCTTTTCACCAGACATTTACTGGTATTTACAGGGCATGACTGAAAAGGTACCTGGATGTGCTCTTTTGTGATCAGCCAGGGCCGGTGTGCAAGAAGTTTGTTTATTTCGTTCAGGTTTTTCAGTCTTTGGGGAATGTATTCTAAACCATTCAACCACTCTGCAATCCCACCAGTCTTCAGAAACTCATCAACGTGCATATTTATTAGGTAGGAACACTGATGTCTGGCAGCAGCCTGGAATAATTAAACACAGAGGGAACAGTGCAGCACATTAGTGTCTGATCTGGTTTTGCTGTGGGTGAGAGACAGGTTAATAACACAAAACAAAAGTACAATGTCATTCCAAAAGGCCCAGTGCAAATGCATTTCAATGCACTTCTATACAGTATGGAGGATTCTCCAACAAAAATATATTTGATTACTCTGGATTGCAAAATATAATTTTGGTTGGAAGTGATCACTAGAAGAGAACTCTCACAGAGCTGACTTAGAACTTGTTGCTTGGAACCTTGTCCAGACAAGATCTTCACCCTTGGAGATCACAGAACCTTTCTTGGTTCCTGCTGCAATGTCTCAACATCCTCAGAGAGAGAATTGTTTTCCTAGTGTCCCTCTGGAATTTCTTGTGACTTGAGTCCACTGCATCTCATCCTACTGCTGCACAGTGATGTGGGCATGTGAGAGGAGTATCACTGTGGGAAACAGGGCATGATGTGGGTTGCCAATTCTCCCCTCTCACTGAAAACCTTCTGGCTAGGCATGCTTTATTGTGATTAAAATCTACAACAAAGATTCAGCTTCTGTCAAAATACCACCCTAATTTCTCCTTTCTAAATTCTTCCTGCTTTTGTTCTTTTTTGAAATACAGAAGTGAGAGTTGCAGGAGAGGAGGCACAGCCTGCTGGTACGTACCATGATAGCAATGTAGTGCCTGTAGGGCAAAGGAAGGGGCCCATCCATGCGCAGCATGTAGAACTGGCTGCGGAGGAAAGACTCCAGGTACTGAGTGTGGATGCTCATCACCTGGGTGATGTTATCCAGGCGACCAGACGTAGAATATTCTTCCACAAGAAGATTAGTACGTTCATCCAAACCATTTGCTTGCATAACCTTCAAAATAAGATGGAGAAATGTTAATAGAGGGAGAGATTTTCTCTTGCTTTAGCCTTTGGGGAAACACAATGTGGTATGAAAGGTTTATCTGTGTCCAGACTTAAAGACAATGATGGAGTTCTGGATGTATATTTGCAAACATACATGCCTGCCTGAATGCAAATACACACACACAGATCCTGCTTGTATACTGAGAACTGAAGAGCACTTTACACTGAACCTCTGTTATTTTTTATACGTTTCTAAAAACCCAAAGCCATTTTTCTATACATCTTGAAACAGAGGAAGTCACAGATGCTGAAATCAAACCTGTACAGGGAGCTGAAAGTAAGTAAGAGCTAAATGGAAAGTAAATTCTTTATGGAAGACAACCTGTTTAGACACACACCACCTGAGTGCTCAGCCCTAAAATCAATTTCAAAATTAATGGAGAGGAACTGGATTATGTAACCAAATTATAGAAACAGCCTGGCAATCTACTCCTTCTCTGCTTGTATAATTGAAGAGGAGATCAAATGCTAATTTGTCCATAACATTCAGGTATTATTTAGAATAGGAATTTAATGCTTTCTTTAAACAAAAGCTGTTCTTTAATTATTCCAACCAACCCAAACCTTGGGCACAAGATGAAATGAAACAGCATAAGAGTAAGTAGCTCTTGCATTGCAAGCCCTGACACAGTATGAGTGCTATTACTCAGTGTTTATCACTAGGAACAGCCATTCTCAACATGTTCACCACTAAAGTTACAAGCACAAGACTAGAAAACCCAGTATTTATTCTGACACTGTGCAGTAATAAACCAGCCAGCTTACTATTGCAAACACCATTAAATGAGAATATATTTTAGTTGTTTTACTGCACATGAAGGTAGAAAGTGCCTAAAACCAAGAAGCACAATGCTTTTGCTGAAATATTCTATTTAAAATATGTTTTCTTCTTTATGATGGGCTGATGAGTGGGCCATGTCTCAAATATTTTTCTACCAGATCTTATATAGAAGTCACATGCAAAGAAACAAAACAACATATTACATCTTCACTTCTCACCACTGTACTTTCCTGGCTTAATTTGTGGGCCCAGAAAGAAAGGGAAGAAGCAGCTACACAGTTAGGCAGCTCCATCTTTTTTACATGTGTATCTTCACTATGGCAGCTTTTCTGTGTCTTATACCCAAACTGATGCCTTCTCAGTGGTCCTTAGTAATGTTTTTACCATCAGAATTTTATTCACACATTAGAGATCATTTATCTTCCTGTATATACCTCACTCCACTCCTAGGAGTCCCCCTTATTCTTCAGCAAGTGTATCTCCCATGTATTTAAGAGATTCTTGTCTCATTTAGTGGTTTCTTGGGGAAATAATATTTTTTGTGTCTCTAGTAAGGTTTCTAATCTTCTCCAGCTTGTCAGGAATTTTTCTTGTAACAGTGCAAGTTATAGAAAGAAATTCTGCTGACAGAATCAAAATATAATCCTGTAGGACTGTGCTGTTGCTATGTTAGGCATAGCAATATGCCATATGATTATTTCTAAGCTTTATCTCCATCTCTATTACTATCCTCTTCATACTGTGCATGTACTTCCTCCTGATTTATTTCCATCCACAGACATTTTTTTTTAAATTCTGCTTTCAAAGCCTTGTGGCATGTTATTAGGAACCTTTACAATTAAGTCATTATTCTCTGTCCATATTCTTTCCATTGCAACAATAAAGCAGCCTTTAACACCAGTAGTGTTATTATCACTTCAGTGTGTTACTATGCTGTCACTAAACCCTCTCTATTCACTGTACTATTTCATGACAAGGAATGAGGGAGAAAGGCAGTCGTTTGTTCAACAAACCACAGTCAGCATTTGGCATGGTAGAAATCTCCAGTCTGAAATCCACTCCTTCCTTTCAACCATAAATTCTCTCAAGAGCCACAGCTATAGTCTAAGGAGTGAAGTCATATTTGCAGGTTCTCTCAAACTGAAGGTCAGGGACTGCTCTGAGAGCTACATAATCACGCTGCTGCAATACTGGACAGGCCTCCCTTCAGGTCTGGCAGTATAAATAATGTGTTCACACCCACCCGAGAGGAGCAGAGCTGTCACTCATGGCTGTCTCTGGGAAAGCTGGTAACAGAAAAGATGTCAAACAGTACCACTTGTGTGGAAGGATGGGGTGGGTCTTACCCACTGGAACCTGCTCCAGAGGCACCATTGCTTTTGCTTTCAAGGGAGCTCATCCAGGTACCATGGAACAAGCAGGGTCATAGAACCATCCTTCAGTGTCATTATTTTCAGAACTATCACCCAAGCCCAGCTAACTGCAAACTTACTTCATTCTCTGGTATAAAGGCACTTGGTCCTCTTGTCAACGGCGGGGAGACCTGTACTCTCTTTTCCTGCAAAACAGTCACATAGTTCAGTCACTGTCAGGAATTACATATTCACCTCACAAGATGAGATCTTCAAGGTCTGGATTCTATTCTCTTCTCAAAGCCCCCGGGTGTTCACTGAGGATGCATGGAACCACACCACATTAGATCAGCTTTGCATCCCCTGTACTTTGCATGAAGGAATGGCATTCATTTTGGCAAGGATCAGCACCAATTTTGGGCAGGGGTAAGGCAGAAACAAACCCCAAAAATCTAATTCCAGTTGGTTGACAGACCAGTTCGAAGATACACAGACAATAGCAACAAAACATGTGGCATGATGCTAAAATTAGCCAATTTACTGGATTGAATGGAAATTTGAAAACAGAGGGGGAAAAAAAAACCAAAAAACCACACTCAGGAAATTATAAGCAAGATGCTGTTTTTTTTCAACATCAGCATCTGATGAGATCCTTGGTGTTGTGAAGAGTGTAAGAACTTTTTGTGCCAAATATTGGCATGAAAAGCAAACCAGCTGTTGTAGTGTGATGCAATATCCTGTTTTAGCTATCCCAGTCCTTTCCCAGGTGTGCCAATACCTTCTCCCTTCCCCTCCCCTTGCCTCCTGCTGAGAGCTGTCCATCAATCTTGGCAATCCAGCAAGGGCGTCACCTGATTGGCAGAAGTTCAAAAGATGCTTCTCAGCCCTGGGGTCATTGGGCTACCTAGGTGCCACTTCTGTCCTGAGCCTTACCCCTCCTACCTGGTTGGTGGCACACCTACCCCCTCCCTCCCCCTGTCCCCAGGGCTTAAAAGGACACTGGGACCATGCGGTCGGCATTCTGTTGGAGCTCTTACAAGATTCAGAGATCTGTGACCCTGGAATAAAGCTCTGGATTCAACACTCCGGCAGAATTCGTCTCCTTTTTCCCTTCACCATCACCTAAAGCCTTTCCACCAGAGGTAAACCTGAGATCCTGCTTGCCTGGACTTGTTCCAAGTGCCAGCTGCAACATCCAGCCAGCCAAAGGTGTCTCTGAGGTGAAAGCCATCTCAGTTGCTGCCTCTGGTCAAGCAGCAAGGGCCAGATGAGCCCAGGCACGTTCCATCCGGTAATATTGGGATCATATTCCAATATTTTGGTGCCCAGCCAGCAAGACCCAGTTAGATGCATTTTCAAGAAACCTGATGAAAAGGCCACCTGGCTCACTGCTGAGCCTGGAGCACACTGCAAGCAGCACAGCCTCGGTGTGCAAACCCCAGCTACAAGGCAGGAGGATATATTTAGTACAGAACAAGCTGATAGTGTAACAAGAGCCAGAGGACTTTTCTGATTTATTAGGGATAAGACACTGGATTAAGATAAAATGTGCTGCCAACCAGAGGAGTGAAGGGGACCTGGGGAGGCCGTCTGCTCCTCCAACTCATCAAGGGCAGGACCAACACTGTCCACATGATTCCTGAACAGTGTTGGTCCAATTCTCCTGGAGGTTCCTTCCTCTCCACGGGTGATTTATTTCAGTGACTAACTCCTCAAACTGTTAAAGTTTTCCTAATGTCTAATCTGAATTTCCCTTGAAATAATTTAAAGCAGTTGCTTCTTGTCTTTTCTTCTTTTCCTCTTTATGGTTATTTTCCACCTATCTGGCTGGTTGCACACTTGTCTCAAGTCCCTAATTGCAACCACAGTGTTGGTGATTCTTAATATGTTATCCATAAACAGCAGTATTGGATTTGCATACTAAGTATTTCGTGCCCCTAACAGAAAAGGCTGAAGTTTTCCATAACAAATGACTCTTAAATACCTCTACCAGGGGGGCTTTAAGCTTAACTGCCAGTGTGCACAAGCAGCAGTGCCAGTCCCATAATGAATGTGCCACTGATTTCCACCCAGGAAAATTAAGCCACTGGAGCTGCGTAACTATTGTCCTGATCCTTAAAAACATCCTGTCCTTTCTAAATTAGATTAAAGAATAACATGCAAAAATCAGCAATGATTATTCAGGAAAGATGTTCCAAAGCAAACTCTCACAGGACAATTGAATTTGTGACTTTGGAACAATTAGCTGCTAAAAGATGCAGAAATAAGCTGGATCAACCACATGAAGCCCAGCAGCCAGGAGACAACTTCCTGCATCTGCTGCCTACTGTCACAGCCCCAAAAATCCTGTAAGACATTTCTCATGTACAAAAAGTACTCAATCTAAAGTATGAAGAAACGGTGAAGAGAGTCCTGGTAGCTGCACATGCAACCCCTTCCTCACAGTTACACAAGGCACAGGAAGACATCTTCTGCCCTGAAATACACCCTCTTGTCAGCAGCCAGTCATTTCCACCGACATTAAAAAACAGAAATGCTTTCCAAGATTGGATCCAAGCTTGGATTTTACTTGGTTTGTGAAGGTTATCTGGAAATTAAAGTTTAAAACCATTATTTCACACTACATAATCTGGAGGAAGCAGCTTGTGTGAGTGATGCAACTTGGATACCTGTACACTGTCAGCTTTTGCTGGAGCATACCAGAGCTCAACCTTCTCCATCCTGCTCTCTGATCTGTACCTTCTTCAGGCTCTGCAAAGCTG